TGATGGAGTAAATTTGTTGGATGATGATAAAAATGCAGCTCACTACTTGGAAACCGGATAAGCGGTCCAATCCCAAAAGAGATTGGGAACATTACAAACCTTACGAGCCTGTTAGTACACTTCTTTTAATCTATCTCTTCAACGATGTTTCAGATCATACATACTTTGGCAGTTTTTTTTTCTTTCTACTTTCTGTAACATTTGTTTTTGTTTTTTGTAGTGTCTTGGAATTTAATCAGATTTCAGGGAAATTACCTCCAGAGCTAGGGAGTCTACCTAACATTGAGAGAATGTAAGAATCTTTGTTTCAACTTTTGTTAAAATGTTCCAACACTTATTATTGGTCTTTGCTAGTGTTGTGACTCTGTTTTCTCTTTTGTAGCCTTCTTACCTCGAACTACTTGACCGGGGAAATCCCAAGTTCATTCGCCAAACTTATTACATTGACTGATTTGTAAGTACTCACTCTGCTTAAATTCGGTCCGGGAGTGTATGTTTTGATGGAGACTCTGACTTTTTGACTGATCTTTGTAGCCGTATTGGCGACAACCAGTTCACCGGTACTATACCAGATTTCATCCAGAACTGGACAGAACTTGATAAATTGTAAGCAATGCATTCGTTGTATTCAGATTCTTTCAGTTTTCATATTGGTATTGGTTACTTATATAGGAATGGAATGTTGGTTTTGCTTCGTCAATCAGGGTTATTCAAGCAAGTGGTTTAGTCGGACCGATTCCTAGTGCCATTAGTCCTCTTAGAAAGATAACAGACCTGTGAGTACAACTTTTCATGTATCATTCATTGTAGTCGCCTTTCAAGGACTCATCATCAATAATGTTTATATACTCTTTCCAAATTTGAATTTTTGTAGGAGAATCAGTGACTTGAGCGGACCCGAATCTCCATTTCCGCCACTACAAAACATGACATTGATGAAGACACTGTGAGTTTGAGCCTAAGATTAAATGAATTTGGTAATGGTTTCTTCCCACCTTCAATGAGCTTGACTTCCATTTCCACTCGCTGTTCCGTGCAGGATTCTTAGGAACTGCAGTCTTACAGGAGACTTACCTGCCTATCTTGGACCGTTCAGTTCCTTAAAGCTCTTGTTAGTAATCTCTTTTTTCTTCGACGCATAAAATCCTTTTTTTGGATGAAAAATAATTCAAGCTGACATTGTGAGACTCGTTGTGCAGAGATCTTAGCTTTAACAAACTGAGTGGACCAATCCCGGAAACATATACCGCTTTGTCGAATGTAGATCACATGTATGATG